TTTTTTTTTTTTTTTTTTTTTATGCTATGCCTATTACTGACCTCTCATATGAGAAAAGGGAACCAATGACCATTGCTATGGGATCATTTCCATACCTATTACCTATGGGTTTGTTTTTGTTTTGTTTTGTTTTCCAGAGTGGTGGCTGTAAGGTCTGATGAAGAGAATATAAATTGCTGTAAGGTTCTCAAGTGAAGCTCAAGTTTCCATATGCTATGATTCTGAAAGAGAGAGTGGGGATGACAGGTCCAACTGGGGGTGCAAAATTACATTAATCTTATCCAATTGTCATGATAATTCAAGGAGGAGGCTGTCAGCTTTCTTCACAGTGGAAGGAAATTCACTGTTATTTCAAGATTAAGACATGCTAAAAGGAAATGTGTAAAACTGCATCTTAGGACAAGTGAATTATACTTAATCATATTAGGCATACTGTTTTTGCATGAATTTGCCATTTGGTGGCTGCTCTGCTAAGGACTTTACAGGGATTAATTCATTTAATCCTCACTATGCCCTTATAAAAACAGTACTATTACTATACCCATTTTATAGATGGGAAAACTGAGAAATAGTAAATAGTTTTGCCCAAGATCACAGAGCTGGCCTGTGGCTTAGGATGGATTCTATACCACATGTTAATTTAAAACCTTTGCACTTTATTTAAATGCTATGTAAACCTTGTCTCTGCTTTATAGAAAAATATTGAGCAAATATTTCCAGAATATTGAGATAAGGGAGAAGTCATTCATCTGCTTGAGACACCCACTGACTCAGTCAAGCCTCGTCTCCAGAATACAGGGTCACTCTCCCCAAACCCTTCCTGGCCTCAAAGGAATGAAAGAAATGAAAATCTGATTTAGCAGATTTCAGAGCTGTCTCTGGCTTAAAATGGTTCCTTACTAGGTTGTTCAATGAAACATACCCAGAAAACTAAATTATTTTACTAAACAAACGCAACATTCCAAAATGATTTAAGAACTTGGCTTTAGTCAAAACTCTGGAGATTTAAGAATGCTATTTGGTTTTGCTTCGTAGCCATCCAAGAAAGTTTATACATTATATCTCAGCCCAAAACACAAGCACTGTGACCATTATCCCCTCTTGTGTATCAAAGAGAGCATGTGCCAGTTCATATGTGTTTTTTGTTTGTTTTTTTGAGATGCACTTATGTTTGAGGCTCTTCTTTATTTCTACTGGAATGTTTAAAACAAATTTCCTTTTATCTTCTGACAGGTGAGTCTAAAATGATGAGTACCAAATAAGGTTAATATACAAAAGTCAACAAGGCATTCTAGATATTAAAACCTTAACTTTAATACGGACATAAAATACCACTCCTTATTTCCAAGCTTCATCAATATTCTGGTAAAGCAGTGTTTCCTCAAGTATTCTATTTCAGAAAGAGATTCCTCTTGCTCTGTCACTATTTTAATTTCACCAGTCTAGACAGAATCCTGATTATGCAAGTATTATACTATATCATATCCTGTTTCAGAAAGAATATCAATATGTACTAAGCCAATGACATATCCCATAGCTTAAGCATGCCTTAAGGGGGAGATAAAAATAGACTGACGATGGGTACTATGGAAAAATAACCCATGCATTTTTTTTTTTTTAAGACTTCTATTAAAGGAAAAAGAAAACCTTTGTGGCCAATTAAAAAAAAAAAAAAAACTTTTTTATTCACTTAGTGACAAATTCTTACACAAACTCAAATGAATTTCTCTTCAGCTTTGGTAATACAGCAACTGTTTAATCAGTAAATGGTTTCAGAGTAAACCAAAGACCTAGAGCAACACATTCCAGAATCTTTGGATTACAAACAAATACCCCTGATCCCATGTGTGGAGAAAACCAAAACGTATGCCTTCAAGGCTGGGAACCGAATAAGTCACTCACATTCCACCTTGGAACACCTTCTACAATTCTCTCACAAACTTTAGTGGCCACGCACAAAGGCATTTTCGAGACTCTATTTTAAGTAAAACAGTGGTTATCTCTGATGAGAAAACACAACTAGTTTTTGTGAGTTTAAAAGTGTCCTATGATAAGATGTGAATACCTCCATTACATATTCACGTTTTTTTCTTAATCATAAGAGGTTTGTGTATTTCTTTCTATTACATTATGAGTAACCAGAGTACAAGGGGATCACCATGAACCTTTAAATCCCCAGCTGGTGGCCAATGATTTGGTACTTCCTCAGTGTTTAATTAAACACTGAACAAATACAATCTTTTAGGAAAAAATACAACAAAATCCAAATAATTGGGGAGCTTTATCTCCCTTCCCAACTTTCCCTCTCTTCCCCATAATGTCCTTTATTTTGTGGTAGAGAAATGTACAAAATTCTCCAAAGAGACATTTCAATCAGTGGTGCCTCCCCACCAGATGTGAGTCACTGAATTACCTTCATGGTACCCCCAGATTCTAGATCATGATTTTAACCTTGTTCCCATGTACATTTTATATCTTTATTATATTAAATATATAGTAATGGAAAAATCTACAGTGACATCATATACTTCCAAATGAGAATACTGCGTCCTTTTTCATCATCAAAGAATGAATAAGCAAATAGAAACACTTCCAGAAACACTGAGAAATGAGACTTGATATTACCAGCAGGGAAAAATATCCTCATTTGACTTTTCCATATACTGCCATGTTCTCCCAGAAGAAATTTCACTGCCAGAGAAATTTAGTGTCCACCTGAATTCCGTGTGTGAGCCATTACAAATCATTCCATATTATAAATCAACAATGACAAAATCTTTCTTTGGAAATAAAGAATAAAAAATCCTATTTATTATTTATGACTTGCCTTCTTCTAACAAGAATTTAAGGAAAGCTAGATAATGAAGTAAGAATGTATCTAAGCACTGCCAGCATGGCGCCAGGGGAAGAATAGTATAAATAAATATATACCCTGTGCTAGGCACCATGACTTACACTTCACATGGATTTTCTTACTTAATTCTAACAATCACCCTATATGACAGGAACTGCCTCCATCCCTGCTTTATACAGGAGAAATCTGGGGCTTGGAGATAGGAAGCAAATTGGCCAAACGTGCATGGTCAGCAAGTGTGGAGCCAGGAAATCAATATTCAGGGCCCAACTCCAGAGTCTCAGCTCTTAACCACAATGCTATGCCATCTTTAAAAGAACAGATTATTTGGAACAAAGAAGAGCAAGACTAACCATGTCATGTGAATGGAGATTTTTTATTGTGAATATTTTCAGTAAAATAAAAAATAATAATGACAACGC